GATTGAAAATATTAAAAATTTACACAAGTCTCCAAGAAAGACATGAGGTAGCTGGGTGTGGTGGCTCATGTCTATAATCCCAGCACTCAGGAGGCTGAGGTGGGAGGATCGTTAAGGTTTGAGACCAGCCTGGGCTACAAAGTGAGCTCAAGGCCAGCCTGAACTGCATAGGGAGACCCCACCTCAAAAAAGACAAAAAAAAAAAAAAAAAAAAGAAAGAAAGACAGACATGAGGTATAGGAGTGTAGAGTTTTCTGAAACAAAGACAGGGCTGAAAAGGGAGAGGTAAAGATTGCAGTCTATGTGATCCACAGAAAATCTGAATTATCAAACTTACTTAGATATCACTGTACCTCACTATGACTGCAACTTGGAAAAATGTCATGAGAGGGGTGTTTACAACAATTTTAAGAACATCTCATGAGTCTATGGCTACATCTCTCTAAGGATATTGAGATAGTTTGAGTGGTGACCCAGTTCTACACATCCCCTGTGACTTTCAGTATGAGAAAGTAATTGTAATTGTAATTGTAATCCTAATGCGGGTCTTGTTGAGACTCTTACTATTTCTTGCTTCTATTATCCTTTTGTCTACCTATATACACAGAATATCTAAGAGCAGTATCAATGAAAACAAAAAGCCACCAGAGCAGCAAGATACTGCTCTTTTCAAACACATATTAATTAACTTCTTTGTGATAAGAAAGTCAAATAGAAAGTGATAGTGAAAAGGTCTTTTATAGAGATGGGCATCCTTTCTTGATGCCATCTATTTTTCTGTATGAATGCTTTTTAGTTTTTAAATTAAAAAAAATTAAAGCAGTTCCCTGAGTGAGGCAATCTTTCTTACGTGTTATCCTGAAATCAGGTCTTTAGAGCTTTGGGACAATGAGAAGCCCCAAGATGTGATCTTGACAGAGTAAGGCCTGCTGGCCCTCCATAACTTCCAAGAAGTACACACCCTAAAACTTCAAGAAGTATTATTGAGTTACCTAATATTTCTATAGAACTCCTTTGGAAAGACCTTTAGAATTTACTTTTCAGAGTATCCTGCTTAATCTTCCTTCATAATTTGGCTTGTTTGTAGCAATTTCTCTAATCTTAAATATTTTACTTCAGAAAGAATTTATCAGGAGACAAGTATATGCTTATTAGTTTCCATGTTTTGGTTGATTACCATTTCTGTCATATTGTCCATTTAGCTTTCCCCCCCTTTTTTTGCAACTTGGTACACAATGCCCAGATCTTAAATTGGCCTTGTTCATAAGTTAACTGGAGAAACTAAACATATTTGTTATATGATTTGAGAGGGCATAAACAGGTTAGATGGACATCCTTACCACTTAACGATACTCTGTGATCTGGGAAGCTTTTCATTCTTAAAAGGTTTAAATTGCACCTACTAATCATTCATCATCACCTGCTTGTTCATCCTATAAACATAGGTTTAGCACTTGCTATTAGATTGCTATTAGCACATGAAATGAACTGCCCGAGACCATTTTCACTTATAAAAATAGCTGATTGGGGCTAGTGGTTTAGCGCGGTGGCACAAGTGCCTGCCTGGCAAGCATAAGGTCACGAGTTTGATCACCAGTACAAACAAACACATAAATACATAAAATAAAATAAAATAAAATAAAATAAAATAAAATAAAATAAAATAAAAATAGCTGGCTAATATAGGTCAATCTAATTTTACACGTCCAGATACTATGAAACCAACCTTGGAATTCTGCTTGTAAATGAAAATTGAGAGTTACTTATACCTAGAGGTTTTTTTAGTTTTGATTTCCCTTAAAATTTATTATCTTTGAAGAAGTCACCAAGAAGCAAGCCCTCCCTGCAAATTGGCACCATGCATGGGCTGCTGAGGGGAACCCAGATGCCAGCCCCTTCTGGTGCACAGGCTGGGAAACAAGAAGAACCAACCCCCCCACAGTCCCAAACCCCTCCCGCCCTAAGCGACCAGCTGATCTGGAGAAACACAGGCTGCAATGAAACTATTGAGGTAAAATACAATTTAATGCTGGCAGTGTTTAGGGTTTCACTGACTTTACAGGTCAAAAGCCAGTGATCTGATCATCTATTCAGAGGGTAACAGTATGCAGTGTGGCATCTATGGGGCAGCTCCTTCTGAAGGTGGTAGCCACTGTTAATTTCCTATCATCTTGTTTTGAAGTCTTGTATCATTTTCATTGTTTTGTTGGGTTGGGTTTTATTCTGTTTTGTTTGATTTTATTATATTCAATGGTTTGGGCAGCTAGTTCAAAGATAAGATATATTATGATAGCCATTTTGAATTACTCTTATCTTGTTTTTAAGTCCTCTATTGCATTAATTGTTTTGTTTTTATTGGTTCTATCTGTTCTGTTTTATTTGATTTTGACGATATCTGAAGGTATCTGCTGCTATTTTGAAGACAGCAAGAGGCATTATGGTAAACACTGTTGATTTCCTATTGTTTTGAAGTCCTGTATCACTTACACTGTTTTTTTTTTACAAGTAATACAGAATTTCAAGAAAAAAAATATACAGTGAGAAATCACTAGTTAATAGGTTACATATTGTCATCTTAGAAGCAGTTGTCCAAATTATAAAATTAAAGCATATAAAGTGGCCATTCATACAGTGAGATTGCAGACAGTTCCATTCAATGGTCCAACAAAAGCTCAGTAATATGGTTTTTCATCCTACACACTCAAACATACATGCAGTTATATCCCTTAGATCACCTTCTTTTCTTCTCTTTTTTACAATAACAATTACACTTTTTGGGTTTTATTACTCCCACAGTTCTTATTACTTTTTTTTTGAAGAGAATAAAACCAAACGTGACTAAACAAAACAGAGTCAGTTACAACAGAAGGAAGGGTATAGTACATGATGCAAAAATAGAATACCAGGTGATCAAAAATGGTTAACCATTGTGCCTCTTGCTATTTTTAAAAACAGTTGCCGGGGCTGGGGATTTAGCTCAGCGGCATAAGCACCTGCCTTGCAAGCAGGCGGTCGTGAGTTCGATCCCCGGTACTGATAAAAATGAAAAAGACAAATAAATAAATAAATAAATAAATAAATAAAAGAGTTGCCTATATCATCAGGTATAATAGACTTGATCAAAACAGTACAGAACAAGACCAATAAAACTTACACTGGAGACCTTACAGGACTTCAAAAGAAGATAATAGTCAAACCATAATGGGCATCATAGTAAATCTTATTGCCTTCAAAGTGGTTGCCTATACCCTCAAACTTGATACTATCAAACAAATAGAATATAGTAAAATCAGACAGAACAAGATGGGGAGAGCAATATTGGGGTTCAAATCAGGTTAATAGGAAAGCAAAATTTACTACAATATATCCCACTATTTTTTAATTGCACTGGTTTGTTTTGATTTGCTTTATTCTGTTTTATTTTGCTTGGTTTTATTCTGTTTAGAATAAAAAAATTATAATCCTTGTGGCTTCCAAAGATTAATCTTAATTTTCTAGCTTTTGTTCAAATCCTAAAACAGATCAAAATATATGAAACTGGGATGTGTCTAACAGTGTCACTTTTTTAAATAAATGTTTTCCTAGATGTTTCTGAATTTCAAAACTCTTCAAAGAAAAGAAAACCAGACTCTACATTCATTCTCAGAGAATGTAACAGCAACCTCAAAACCTAAGCTAGTTGTTGCAATCCCTTTCCTTGCACTGCAACCATGGAATGGAGTCTGAAAAGAACATATCCTTCCCAATTCACCTAGAATAGCTACTAACTATGACACTATTTCCTTTGAGTTCTGAAGTCTATAACATTCTTCTCAATCCATTAGTGTGAAGTAACTCCAGTTCCTGAATGTTTCAGTTTTATAGTTTCAAAGAATTGTGGAAGAGCTCGTAGCAAAATCAACAGTGGACTCCAATGGATCTAAGCCCCTGTTATAGACTCGCTTCTGTGAGCATAACAATGGTGTTTGCGTATCTGCATCTCGCCGAGCTTCTTGCTTTAGTTGGTGGAATTTGTGCTGTGTCCAGCCATATACTCCACAGTTGAGCAGCCCCTGGGATGCTGCTGTTAGAGCCTGGAGGAGATGAAGGGATGATGGGGCCCATCCTTCAGGTTTACAGAAATCCAGGAACAATCCCCTTAGCCTCCTCCCACCTTTTTTTGTTTGTTTTTATTTTTTTGAGGTAGGGTCTTTCTATGTAGTTCAGCCTGACCTTGAACTCACTACGTAGTCCCAGGCTAGCCTCAAATTCGAGGTGGTCCTCCTGCCTCTGTCTCCTGAGTGTTAGGATTGTAGATGTACACCATCATGCCTGGCCCTTTATAACTCTTGTTTATAAAGTACTTTTACATTTCCTCCACTTCAAACATTAATATCTGTATATATTTTTTGTATTTGCCTAGTACTTTCAAGACTCTTGCTTCAACTGTATCTTGTCAGAGATGACTAAGATTTTGTCATATTCTTACTATACACATAAAGTCAGTGAAGAGGCTTTGATATGCCTCTTATTGACACATTTTTCAAATAAAACTGCCCTGTCTGTTAGATAATCCAAAAAGTCTTCTTCAATCTGATAAAGGAGGAAAAGGAAAATCATTCTATTATTCCTCCTTCATTAATAATAGCTAATTTATCTTACTTAATTTACAAAAGTGTTTCCTAAGAATATAATTAATATTATTTCTTATTTTTACTACCCTAAAGCACACACCAAATAAAATAAAGTTGACCAGTGACATATATATACTCTGCAGTGTATTGCAGCACTTGTACTAAAGCATCTATCTGGCCTCTGAGAAAATTTTGACATTCTTTGTAATTAAGCATTTCATAACTGAGATGGAAATAACTAGACAGACAGACATAAGTAAGTTTCCTTTTACAATGCAGAAATAAATATCCTTAGAGGATAAAATTGTATTTACTCAGTACTGGCAGTGTAAATGAATGGAATAAGAGGGTATAAGAATAGACATTCTAGGTTTTAGAAGGTGTTACCTGGAGAATATAAAGGGCCATAAGCAGTTTGGTGTCCTGTGGCTTGGTGAGTTTTATGATCATCAGAATGATAGCTGTGAATACACAATATGTAAATCTTATTGTTAGTCCATTCTGCCTAAAGCATAAAGTTCCAAGCACACAGGCCTGGGCATTATTAGAATGGAAGCTATAGGCATATCAAAAATCAGCAGTGAATCTGGGCGTGGTGGCACACACTTGTCACACCAACACTTGGGAGGCTGAGGCTAAAGGATTACTTTGAGATGGAGGCCAGCCTGGTCTACATAGTGAGTTCAAAGCCAACCCTATCTCAAAACAAAACAAAACAACAACAAGAACAAAACCAGCCTTGAGATTAACCAGTTGTGTAAATCTTTGGGCCTTTGACTTTTGACCTCAATTTTTTATTGATTAAACTTCATAGATTGTTAGTGTGGTAGGGATGGCAATGTATACTATGGAAAGATAATCATTTACAGTTCTTAGCATTTCAGAATTTACCAATCTCTTTCATAAACATGGTCCAATCTGAGTTTTACAACAACCATATAATAGTTGGAAGGGCAAGTATTAATATCTAAGTCTTGTCAGGACATTTTCCTTCTTATATCAGATTGCACCTGTGCTTAATTAATTTCTACATAAGAAGAAAAAGAAGACGAAAGATTGGGGAAAAGTTGAAATATGATGAGGCCAACATAAATTTCCTAAGTGGACTGAGTATTTGTAGTCATCTGTCTTGGTGAGATCACTTTGCTTAATAAGAGTCAAACAGTTGCCCTCATCTATGATGGTACCCACCTGGGCCCCAGCAGCATAGGAAGGCCACTGGATAGAAGCATATGCGTTGCTCCATAATGTGAATCACTGCCCACTGTTCACTTCCCAGAAAGCCACTTGATTTCACAAATTTCTTATACAATATCTGGGCTTGGAAGAGTAAGACCTAAGAATGAGTGTAGCAGTGAGCAGTATGCCTAACACTTAGTAAAATTTCCTATCATTTTACAAGGCTCATTCTTTAAGCATCTTACAACAGGAAAGACCATTCTGCTTTGACCATCTGAAACCATGCTTTATTTTGAGAGAGAATTATTCAGATTGAATTTAGAGTTAGCCAAGGAAATGAACAGATACTAGTCAAACTCCGGATTATCATGTTCAATACATGAGCCTTACATCAACAGTTTAAACCACCCCCAGGCTAAACACAATATACACAGGAAGCTAAAAGTAAGTTCTAATCAGTTTCTCTTTTAAAATCTTTATTAGATATTCTGTTGGAAAGTGTTTTATATATACTGCCTTTAAATATGTTACAAATATGGCTTAAATTCTCAACTTTAACCAAAAAAAAGTTTTAGAAAGTCTCCTCTTGTCCTTAGATGGAAAAGAGACTATTTTTTCTTCCATTTGTCAACAATTTGAGTAACATTTAGCTTATGAAAGAAATATAAATCAATTCAGAAGTTCCTTGTGGTATTTTTATAGGGAGTAAGTAAGAATTTTGGTAGCAAATCTGATTTTTTCCCCTAATAATTCAGATCCATTCTCTAACAATCCCACTGTCTAATCAAGCCGTAGTCTCCTTTCCACATAGACAGAAAGATCCAAAGGAAGCTTGCGTATATTTGAAAATGTTTATGTCTAGAATAGTCAGTTAACCATTTGTTAATTTATTCTTTCTTCCTACTGTTCATCCTTCCTGTCTTTTTTTTTTGATGCCAGATATTGAATCTAAAGACCCTCTACCATTGAGTCACAGCCCCACCCAGCTCTTTTTTTTAAATTTTGAGACAAGTCTCACTAAATTTCCCACTAAATTTTTAAGATAGGGTCTTGCTATGCAGTCCAGGCTGGCCTGAACTCACTATGTATCCTACACTGGCCTGGAACTTCCTGGCAATCCTCCTGCCTCAACCTTCTGATTGCTGAGATTACAGGCGTGTGCCACCAAAGGCCAGCTCACTAGTTACTCTTTACATAGCTGATGACTTGAGCTAAGCTTAAATTTAGTTTTGCATTATCAAAGGAAATATCCTCATAATTACATCTGGCATGTAGGTGTTGGAATACAAAACTGTGGTACGATAAATTTGTTCTGTAGATGGTTTACAATTCCTGAACCGAATATAAGAAGCTGAGAGGAGAAAATGATACTGAAAATTAAGAAAATATAGAAAATTAAAAGGCACATTTGTTGCTTACTACTTTTACACCAGGCAATCATGTATATATAATCATGATACATAACCATGTATCACCTAGCTGATTGTTTTAATTCTACAGTTACTCTGGTGATATCAAATGAGTACTACATATGATAACTGTATCAGTTACTTAACATTTTAATCAGTTATATGTAGCATAAATGCAAACTTATGGCTAGAAAATTAAAAATATACATTATTTGGAAAATTAAAATAAAGCATATGTCCTATGTCTCAGAATGTATAAAACATAAGCTGGATATGAGGGTGTGTGCCTGTAATCCCAGCATTTGGGAGGCAGATGTAGGAAGATAACTTTGAGTCTGAGGCCAGCCTGGGCTCATAGTGAGTTCAGAGTCAGCCTAAATTATAAGACAAAACTCTATCTCAAAAATAAACTATATTCTATTCCTGGTACTCCCTCTACCAAAAGAACAAGACAAAACATAAATAACCCTAACTCTCCAGGAAAGACAAAAACCACATGGTCATCTCAATAGATGCAGAAAAAATATTTGACAAAGTCCAACACTCATTCATGATAAAAAAAAAAAAACCTCTAAAGAAAAGTGGAATAGGTCTTTCTTTTCTTTTCTCTCTCTCTTTCTCTCCCCCCGCCCTCATCTTTTTTTGAGACAGGGTTTCATTACACAGTCCAAGCTAGCTTTGAACTCACTATGTAGCCCACGCTGGCCTCAAATGCACAGTGATCCTTCTGCCTCAGTCTCCCAGGTGCAGGGATTACAGGTGTGTGCCAGGAAAAAGTCGTTATCTCAATTTGATAAAATCCATCTATGACAAATCAACAACCAATATCATAGTAAATGGACAAAAACTGAAACTTTCACTCGAAAATCAGGAATAAGACAAGGATATCCATTATCATCATTCCTGTTCAATATAGTTCTGGAAACACTAGATAGAGCTATTAGATAAGAAATAGATAAAAGCAATATGGATAGGAAAAAGTTGTTTGCAGATGACATGGTATTCTACAAAAAAGACACCAAAACTCCACCAAAATTCTCCTAAAATTAATAATCAAATTCAGTAGCATAGCAGGATACAAAATCAGCGCTCAAAAATCCATAGCATTCCTGTACACAAACAATAACTTCACTGAGAGAGAAATGTGGGAAACACCTTTCATAATAGCATCAAGAAAATACTTACAAGTCAATCTAACAAAGGAAGTAAAAGAACATTACATTGAAAACTATAGTATTCTATAAAGGGAGATCAAAAAGGATACCAAAAAATGGAAAGATATCCCTTTCCTAGATAGGCAAGATCAACATAGTGAAAATAGCCATATATCTAAAATTATTATATAAATTTAATGCAATTTGAATCAAAATACCAATAGCATACCTCACAGAACTGGAAAAAACAACCCTAAAATTCATATGGGACCAGAAGAATCCTAGAATACCAAAAACAATCTTGGGCAACAGGGGAAGGAAAGGGGCATCACAACCCCTGATTTGAAGTTATACTATGAAGCTACAGTGATAAAAACAGCATGGTATTGTTAAAAAAACAACAACAACAGATTTGAGGATCAATGAGACAGAATGGACTCTAAGCACATTCAGCTATCTTATATTTGACAAAGGGGTCAAATACCTTCACTAGAAGAAAGAGAGTCTCATTAATAAATTGGCTTTTGACCTACTGATGATTAAAACTAGACCCGTTATCTCTCACCATGCACTCAACTAAAACTGAGATGGATCAAAGCTCTAAAAATTAAAACAAAAGACAAAAAAAAATTTAGCATGGTGGCATACGCCTGTAATCCCAGCATATGGGAGGCTGAGGCAAGAGGATCACTGTGAATTCAAGGCCAGCCTGGCTTACAAAGTGAGTTCAAGGCCAGCCTGAATTACATAGGGAAACTCTGTCTCAAAAAGACAAAAATAAATACATATGTAAATAAATAAATATTAAAACAAAACAATCTTCTGGGAGATAGAACAGATAAAAACTCAGACAGGTGTAGGGAAAGATTTTATGGACAAAACGTTGATAGCACAGAAAATCAACAACTGAGATCCATCAAATTAAAAAGTTTTTCCACAACAAAAGAAACCACCAACAGGGTAAAGAGACAATCCAATGAATAGGAAAAAATTTTTAATAGCTATTCCCCAGATAAAGGAGTACTAGAATAAAGAAAGAACTGAAAAAAATCAGACCTCTCAAATTTAAAAATTCAATCCAAAAATGGACATCTGAATTGAATACGTATTTCTCAGAGGAAGAAGTACAAACATCAAATAAATGTATGAAAAATCTTCACTGGTCATTCAAGAAATGCAAATCAGAACAACACTGAGATTCCAACTCACTCCAGAAAGAAGGCCTATCATCAAGAAATCAACTAATATCAAACACTAGTAATACTGTGGGAAAAAACAAATTGTTGGTGGGAGTGTAAATTGGTTCAACTATTATGGAAATCAATATGGAGATGACTCAAATACTAAAACTAGAGGTTCCATTTGACTCAGTTTTACCTCTTGTAGGAATCTTTCCAAAAGAGTTAAAAGCATCATACCACAGTGATATATGGATACCCATGTTTGTAGTAGCACAATTTATAATAGCTACATTTTGTAAACAGCCCGTATGCCCATCAAAAGATGAAAGGAGTACTACTGGGGCATAAATAAGGATAAACTTGAGTCACTTATAGGAAAATGGATGCATTTCAAGATCATAATGTTAAATGAAATAAACCACACACAGAAGTTTAAATATCACATTATGGAGCATAATGGAGGACAGATACTGGGAAGTAGAAGGAACATGTTCTGATGGGAAGGAGAATAAGGGAGGGAGGAGGGGGAAGGGAAGGAAGGAAAAAGGGAGAAAAGAGTGAAAGGACAAAATGGAAACAAAGCTTTTGAAAATGGGGAGGGGAAGGCCGATTGAAGAGAGGGAGGGGAAATGGGAAAAAGAGAATTAAGATGCATTATGTACAGGTACAAATTCCCTATGATGAACATGATCAATTTGTATGGTAAATATGTACTAATAAAAAATAAAGTTAAAAAAGAAAGAAAAATACATGAATGAATAAATACATTGGGAAAGATTCAAAAGCAGAGAGAGGGAGGAGGGAGAGAATGGAAACAAAGCTTCTGTGAAAGAAGAGGAGAAGTATTGAAGGAAGGGGAAGGGACTGGCAGAAAAGGAAAACTGAGATACATTATTAGGGCTGGGGCTGTAATTCAGTGGCACAGGGCCCGCCTCGAAAGCATGACACTCTGAGTTCAATTCCTGGTATCAAAAAAATTAAAGTAGGTACAAATTCTCTATGATGAATGTGATCAGTATGTATGGCAAGGATGTACTAATAAAAAAGTCTAACTGATATTACAAATAAGTAACTAAATAAAGGATATACATGAATCACAAGAATTTCTGGTATTGTCTTCCACAGGAATCAACAAAAATGTTCCAAAGTTAGCATAATTTTACATAATGAATACAAGGTCTCCTCCTCCCTTTCATTTAATTTTGAGAAATTAAAAAAACCAAGGCAGTAATTACATTGTCAGGTTCTCTTGGCCACTTTCTTAGTGCCTTTCTGCCTACTTTCTCAGTGCTTCTCGGCCCCACCTTTCCCAGGCCCAAGAATAGTAGCCTACCCCGCCAGTCTCGCTTCTTCTCACAAATACTCATAAGGTGGTACCGTACCATCATGATGAAGAGGCTGAGTAAAAAGCTGGCCAGGAAAATGGTGATACCATAAAAATAAAGTGTGTTGCAGACAGGTATGTTGGCCAAAGGCAAAAGTTCAGCCATGGCTGATGGTGGTGAGTGCATCAGGATACACCTAGGAAGAGAATTAATGGACAAAGTACCACTACAGATGTAAGACAGAAGACACTCAGTGCAATGCAAGTTCATGAGTAACTGTACTTACAATTTTGCTGACTCTTGCCTATAACACTTTGTTCCTTCCCACAGACATCTTGTCATTTTGTATTATTTTATTATGTATTTTTAGCTTTGACTACAGTTTTTTTCTGTACCTATTTCTAATACAAGCACCTTGGCCAGAAGATAATGTGGGACGTCTTTTTCAGGTCTATTATAGAAAACCACCGTCTATGATTTTTTCTTTCCTTACCTGTGACTCTGGCTGAAGTTATGGAAACATTCACTAGCATTGCCCAGACAAAATACAGGCATCATCAACAGTAGAGGTATCAGGCTGGGAAAAGAAATATCATCCTGACATACAAAATTTTTCATACCCTCCCCCCTTTGCATTATAGTCTCTGCTCTCCCAACTGCATCACCCCACCAATTTCAACAAATACATATACATTTACTTTTTCAAGAAAAACATCTTGAATGCCTTAGGTATCATTATTCTCCAGTTCCTAGGAAAGTGTATTGGGAATTAGATTTTGTACCTAGGTTAATGAACTCTTAACAGTTTCATGGAGAATCTGGTATTGTATAGTCAGATAAAAATCTAAGTAGGTTTAAGTGAAAGGAAAATTCTCCAAGGAGTTCTGTGTGCAGCGTGCATCTCTTTCCTCAGTAGCCAGGAATAACTTCATTCTCATTTACCCTTGTTCGGGTGCATTTCCAACACATGCCTTTACAAAGTCAGCTATTTAGCCAGCCAAATATAACCAACTCCTTATATAAGGGGATATTTAGCAAAATTTACAAAGTCTAAAACCATCCATGATGTCATCACCATTTTAGGTGAGATTCAGACATTTTTAGGGCTTCATAGTCCTAAGAGTCACCCAATGTTATCAAGTAAGCAAGATCTTGAAGGCATCTATTATGTATCTTTATGTTATGAGAAAATGGATTAGAGGTCTAAAATCTTAGAGCTAAATTAAACTCTACAGTATCAAATTGCTTCTTGAGTCCACCTGGGAATATAGAGCCAATGGTCATGTATTTGTTGCTTCCTACTCAGTAAAGCTCTGTGACAACAGGAATAAGGATCACTGATCTGTTTGTTCCCACACTGACAGCAGAATTATCACAGTCTATGTCCTATTTGAACAGAAAGAAAACGATCTTACCTTGATAAAATGAAGGCTATCTGACCAATTTGACAAGTATAATCTACCACCTATGAAAATAATGAGAAAAAATGTTTTAGAACATTGTCAGTCATTACAATAAATAAATACTAGCTCTCACTATTCAACAGAATAAAAATGTCCAAGAGCCAGTTTGCTTCTGTCAAACACTATTTGCTATAAGCCAAGTAAGCCAGGTGTGGTGGCGCACAACTGTAATAGCAGCACTTGGAAGGCTGAGGCAGGAGGACTGCTGCTAGTTCAAGGCCTGCCTAGGGTACATTGTGAGTTCAAAGCCAACCTGAACTGCAAACAAACAAACAAACAAAATAAGTCAATTCACGAAGTAGGTGGCTGGTCCGATGGCAGTGGGTTATCAGAACTTATTAACATTAGTGTCACTAAAGTTGGTATACCACCCCCCCACTGCTAAATTTGACTGGCTTAAAAAAAAAAAAAAAAAAAAAAAACGAAGTAGGTAGTTGTTAGTATTGGAAATGATAAAATTGTACCTATATTATTATATTCTAAAAAGTATGACATAGGGGGCTGGGGATTTAGCTCAGCGGCATAAGCGCCTGCCTTGCAAGCAGGCAGTCAAGAATTCGATCCCCGGTACCGATAAAAAGGAAAAAAAAGTTCGATACCCGGTACCGACAAAAAAAAAAAGAAAAGGTTTTCAATATATAGCTATAATGGCAGAGTAACGGGTTTATACTTTGAGTTAGAGGTTGTTTCCTTGAAACTAATGATACTGCATGGGTTACAAAGAAGTATAATATATATGACTATGTAGAGAAAACAGAATATCATATGTGAAAGGTATCTTATGTTTCTACAGTTTTTGCTTCAAAGATAAATTTACTCCTCTCAAAAATGCTCCCATTTTGGGGCTAGGGATGTAGCTCAGTGGCAAGTACCTGCCTGGCAAGTGATGGGCCCTGAGTTTGACTCCCAGTACCAAAAAAACAAAACAAAACAAAACTCCTCCATGTTGTCTCCATTCTTGACTGGCTTCATCAGAATAACTTCTTTAGGGAATGCTTCTGTGGTTGACTGACTTCTCAAAATGTCTCATGCCTGCAATCCCAGCACTCTGAAAGCCTAAGGCAGGAGAATGATAAATTCAAGCCCTGCCTGAGCAACTTATTGACTTAATAAGATCTTGGCTCAAAATTTTAAAAATATGGGCCAGGGATTTAGCTCAGTGGCACAAGTGCCTGCCTAGCAAGCTCAAGGTCATGAGTCTGATCCCTGGTACCAAAAAATAAAAAATAAATAAATTTTAAAATGTTGCTTTAAAAATTAAAAAAAATATATGTAAAAAGTGTTGGTGATATAGTTCAGTGTAAAGGGCCCGAGTTCAATCCCCAGTACAAGTAAATAAAATTTCAAATTAATCCCTTGGCTTTTGAATGAGTGAGTGAATAAAATGTGAAAAACTAATCCTTTAAGGAAGGCTATTAAACTTTTTAGACATTCCTTTTCTTAAATGGAGGAAAATGAACTATTTATTTCTTTGTGATGTCTTCTGGTTTTAGGATTCTAGGATTATTCAAAAAAGTATGTAAAATGATATGTAGCCATGAATCTTTACTAACAGGGAACAGAGAAGCAATGTAAGTTTAAGATATACAAGAGTAATTGTGAGTATGGGATGTACAGAGTTAACATGAGAAAAGAGCAGTAAGATACAGTCCTGGGCTCTTCAAATACAGTAGTCACTAGCTACATGTGGCTTAACTAAAATGATTAAGAAAGATGGAAGTGTTGCTAAATACATTTCAAGCGCTTGGCACCCTCATATAACTAATAGCTACTGACTGGATTGTAATAAAGTATTTTGGTTATTATAAGAAGTTCTGTTAAGCCAGGCGTGGTGGCACATGACTATAATCCCAGTACTCCGAAGACTGAGGCAGGACAAAGTGAGCTCAAGGTCAGCTTGAACTGCATAGTGAGATCCTGTCTCAAAAAAGCAAAAAACTAAAAAAAGTTCTATTGAACAGCTCTTTTACAGACTGTAACCCCTTGTTCAAGACTCTGCCTAAGGGGCCTCTTTCTGTTAATTCTCAATGATTTGCCCTCCCTTTTCTCCTTAAGTTGGTGGGGGTGGACAGGAAGACATTTTAAAAGTATTCCTGTTCCTTCCCTTGTTCAACAACAGTGAGTATCTTAGAGTTAGAAAAAGGCAAGAAGAATATCTTCTTAAATCAGGTGAAGATTTCATGGAATCCTAATATGGCACTGGGAGGGTCGTTAAAGATCACATAGAACAACACTATTTTATGATGAAAAACTGAGGCCCAAGAATGCTATGTCAGGCTCTCTCATTGCTTTCCTCAAAACAGCCAGCAGGGCTATTGTGTCCTCTAAGGTGCGTCCTCCAGGGTGTACTTTTTATCTTGTTTTTTCTTCTTCTATTTGGCCCAAGTTTGCTCTGCAGAGATTCTCTCTCATTCTTCACTTACTTTTTCAAATAAACTTTGCTATTTAAAAAAAAAAAAGCCACAGGGAATTTAGTTCAGTGGCATAAGCCCCTGCCTGGCAAGAGTGAGGTCATGACTTTGAGCCTTAGTACACACAAACACACACACACACACACACACACACACACACACCCCTAGGGCACATAAAAACAAGTAATAGATGTGGATCTAAAAGACAGATCTAAAGGAAAGAAAGAAAGATCTGATTAGTCTCTAAATGCCCTTTTCTAGGACCCTATAAGCAGATAAATATATAAAGATACATAGCCATGAATTTCTGCAATTTATTCATTCAACAAATGTTTACTATGCTTCATTTGCTTGACAGGTTGCCAGTATTCATTTGTTTTAGCAGTGATATGTTTCTACCTCAACATGGTCCTGATGGAATGATATGTCTAAATCAAAGGCACCTTTCCTTCTACCTCACCTGGGTCCTTAAATATGACAGTGCCATGTCTCCTCGTAACATCTTGTCTCTTTGTTTTTCCAGTCTAACATACGTGCATTCACCAGTGAAGTTGTCCTGGCTAAAACACCTGGCACCAGCGTCTACCTGGGCATCAACCTTCATCCTGTCGACTCCCCTAGGCTCCAGTACAGTGCCCTCTGCCAGCAGGAAGTAGTTAAAGAGAAATCTTTGCCCCTTTTCATAATAATAATCATAAGACGGGATATGAAAGTGTTTTGGCTCAGACAGGCACCAAATGCTAGGATTATTTCCAAAAGATGAAAAATATTTCCAAAAGATGAGAAGTATAAAATAAAAAGCAGCCTTTATTCTGAGAACACGGCGAGAGATGACCAGCACCCCCACCTCTGGCGTCCGACGATCTCTCCGGCGGACACGTGGCGTGGGGGCCTGTAAATAGCCTCAGTTTGGGGTGGAACTTAAGGCGGGCATTAGGGATGCACAGGTAGCCCATTGGTCCTAGGTTTGGCGCCATATGTAAATTTCCAGGGGCGGGAAGATGGCGTCACAGGTAACTTCCTAGGGGCAGGGGAGATAGGGACTTCCTGCTTCCAGTTGTGGTTTTCCTGGCTACAGTGTCCTGTCTGGGCCAAAACCCTTTCAATATGTAGGCTGTAGGCACTCAGGATATCTAGCCTAGAACCTAGATTTCAGTAGGCTTTCCAGATTGTTTTATTCTATCACATCCTTAAAGAAAATTCCCCTTCAAAAAACCATAACAGAATGAATACTTTGGAAATAAATTTAGAATACATAGTAAGAGATATATAAGATTAACATATATAAACACATTTAAAACAATGAAAATTGATAGTATAGTACCAGGGATTGAACTCATGACCTTGTGCTTGCCAGGCAGGCACTTAAGCCACTGAACTAAATTCCTGGCCACATGCCTCAAATTCTATTTGTAAATTAAGGAAAGACAACTGCTCCCTAGATCCATTTTGTTCTCTGATTACTACACGTTGATTCCTCATGCTCTTCTGCAAACCAATACATAATAAAGACACAGCAGAGTAGAACAAATACTGCGCTTTTCTAATACCTAAATGGGATGTGTAGCCCCACGTCCCATTTAGCTGACCAAGCACAGTTCCCTGACTCTTCTCTGAGACCTTTTTCCTTTTTCTAGTAACAATGATGGATTGGCTTAGAGTCAAAGATCTCCCTTACTGAATCAAACCAGGCAGGAATGCTAGCCCTACAAATATTTCCAATAGTAAAACATGGGGAAGTGGGGAAAAAATGATAAGAGAATGGAAAATCTGTGGGAACATAGTTTTTCTTTGATTAATCGCTAAAAGTTCACCTAGTTTGTGCTACAAGCTTATACTGTCTGTCAGAGGTATATGGGTTTATTTTATTTTATTTATTTTATTTAAGGAAGGAAAGGTTTATTTAGCTCACAGCTTGTGGAGGTTTCAGTCTATAATCAGCTGGCTCCAAGGTAGGATGGCATGGCACTGGGGCAACTATTCATTGCAGTGGAAAACAGCAAAAGCAACAAGAGCTAAAGGGGAGGCGCACCTGAGTTTATTTCAATATACCATTCTTTTTTTTTTTTAAGTTTTTGTTTGTTTTGTGTTGAGACAGGTTTTACTATGCAGTTCTGCCTAGCCTAGAACCCACTCTGTAGCCCATACTAGCATTGATTCTCCTGCCTCAGCCTCCCAAGTGCTGGGATTACAGGCATGCACCACCATACCCAGCTGACATTCTATTCTTATCTATTAGTTGTGAGTAAAACTTACCAGTGGAGATGTGCTCTGTCCACTCTGGATGTGTTTCATCCTCAGTTCTGTGTACAGATACCAGATATAACTGATGGTGTAGAAAAATGAGGAAATGTAGAATATCTAGGTGAAAATTAAAAACAACCCATCATAACTGTTTCAGTCTGACTTCCTTAAATGCATTACATTATTTTCTATATGAGAATTCTTCTTGCTGGTCTATTAGTAACATATCATCTGCTGTACACACCACACAAACCAGGCCAACTCCGGGAATTCTACTGAAGCCTACACAAAACATATACAATTTATTTTATCCTTTTGACTGGAAGAAGCGCAGCATTATCCACCTCCTCTCACCAAACTTACATTTGTATGAAGATGTCATAGAATCTTTATTGTACTTTTAACTTAAAAGGTAATAACGCCTGGATGTGGTGATGCATGTCAGTAATTCCAGCACTTAGGAGGCTGAGGCAGGAAGATTACTGCAAGCTTGAGGCCAGCCTGGGCTACAAAGTGAGTTTAAAGCCAGCCTGAATTGTATAGTGAAAGCCTGTTTCAAAGAAAAAAAACTGCAATAAGGATTTCCATTTCTAATAATGTTAGTTATATTAGTCCACTTTTATTACTCTAAAAAATATCTAAGGTAGGGCCCAGGATACAGCTCAGTTGGCACAACAGCTACTGGCAAGTGCAAGGTCCTGAGTTTGATCCGTGGTACAAAAAACACCAAACAAACAGGGTAGGCCATCTTTTGTGGGCAGTAGGGGGTACTGAACCCACAAACTAGACCAGTGCTTTACCACTGAGCTATATCTCCAACTCTTTTCATTTTATTTTGAGGCAGTCTCACCAAGTTTTCCAGGATGTCTTTGAACTTATAATCGTAAGGTCTAGGGACCTCATCTGGTGATGACTTTACTTGTAGAGTCCTGGGGTGACAAGAAACAGGGAACATACATAGCTCTGTTTCTGTTTCTCTGTATATATCTGTTTCTCTGTACATATCTCTCTCTGCTTTAAATGTACCATGGAGTATTCCAACCATGGGGGCTTCTGGCCTAATGATTTTATTTATTTCTGATAATGTCCTAAAGGTCTCACTCCTAAACACCATAATCAGAATAAGTTTCTGTTATAGTCATGGTTTGCAAGGGAATAGATTTAATACAAGACATATAAGTCACAGGATTATTTTATAATATTTACCTAAAAAGTCCAATACGAAGGAGCACAAGAGAACTGTCCATGTGGTACAGGCCCAAAGAATCCAGCCAAGGCCTGGATCCCATGGCAATGTCTTTATGAGAGTCAAGCCAGAGGCCTAGAGCCCATAGCAATGACTCATGCAAGTCTTATCAAGGATTTGCACTGGGAAGGCCCAACAGCCAGTGTTAGAAGCTAGAAAGTTTGTACTACCAGAGTAAAAGATCTGTGCTACAAGGCTAAGGGATCTGCAGTAGAGGCCTGGAAAACACTCAAGACAAAGGTGAAGACCAGAGCTCCCCTGAAGAGAACAGCAACAATCCCTGGTGACTGAGGACCTTTAATGTGAAGAACAGTCAAGTACGTATCAGTAAAACCAGCTGGAGCAAGGTATTCCAAGAAAATCAACAGCATGCAATCTTTCTCTCTTGTTCTCCTTTTATGACACTGGCAACAATCCACAGGTAGGTCTTCCTACCCAGAATCATGCTGATTCAGCTTAGTTGGGTGGTCCCACTTAAACTGACCATTAATTAATCCACCCAAGTTTACATTCTCTTAAAACCATTAATATACAAAACTTTGGGGATTAAATTACTACATGAGTTGGTGGATAGGGGTAGCCTAGACCAGTGGTAGCAAATATTTTAGACTTGTGTGCACAAACTCCAATCCAAAATCCACTTTTTTTGGTGGGGGGACTGGGGATCAGACTCAGGACCTTGTGCTTGCCAGGCAGGTGCTTATGCCACTAAGCTAAATCTCCAGCCCCCAAATCCACTTATTTATTGCAAAGTTCCAACATAACAATTAAACCTAAATACTAAGCTTTTAATTTAGGGAAAACTACTCATACGTTAACATCTTTTGTCTTAAAAAATAATAACATACATGTCATAGATTTGCTACCACTTGTCTAGACTATTTGAACTAAACTTTCCATTAAAATTTTTGAACTAAACATGATGCATAAAATATTTTTTAAAGATTCTTAAAAACAGGGCCTGGGGATTTTAGCTCAGTGGCACAAAGTACCTGCCTAGGAAGTGTAAGTTTTTGAGTCTGATCCCTGGTACCCAAAAGAAAAAAAGATGCTTAAAAACATTAAAGAACTGACATGACAGCAAAGAACCAACAGGACAAATTTAAGGGAATGAATTTCTGCTTCCAACATTGATGAGATAACAGGAATAGAATTTACCCTCCAGTTCTCAGTAATTAAAAATTGGACAAAATACACGAAAATGCCTGGTTTTCCAATAGTAAACAATAAGCAGTACAGAACAGCAACACCTGAAAGAAGAAAAACACAAAGAGACGTCTGTGTGCCCCAGAATCCTGGTTGGACTACGTGAATGCAGTGAGGTGGCACTGACAGACTGCTGTCTTGGTGACTCGAGGAGAAAGATGGTAACTTAAACTTGTAAACCAAGCCAGGCATGGTGGCACTTTCCTGTAATCCCAGCACTCAGGAGGCTGAGGCAGGATTGTTGCAAATCTGAGACCAGCCTGGGCTACAAAGTGAGCCCAAGGCCAACCTAAACTGCACAGTGAGACTTTGTCTCAAAAAGAGAAAGAAAAAGTAAACCAAAACATCAGAGAAAAGGTAGATAAACAGAAACATAGTGCTCTAGAACTCTTCAGAGATCATCCAAATCTTTAAGTGTTAATCTGCATACAAAGAAGAGAAAATCATAAGCACCAGAGAAGGAACTACCATAAAACAACAGGTAGAGTAATCCCCCCAAATTCACACAGTCAGGAATAGTTCATATTCCCATTAAGCAGAACAGTAAGATTTATACTATGTGCAGGCCATAATCACAAAGAATATTGCCTCAGTAAGGCACCAAATTCCTGTACATGAAAGACTGCCCTCGTGACATTTAAAAACCAGCTTTGAAAAAGTGTGGTGGTTCCTACCTGTAATCCCAGCCCTCGCAAGGCTGAGGCTCAACTGAACTCAGCAGGATTGCCTTGAGTTCCAGGCCAGCTACATAGTAAATTCAAGGCCATCCTGAACTACAATGAGACCATCTCAAAACAACAAACAAACAGTGGACAAACATTAAAAAATTTTCTGACAAATATATTTCCTGTGTCCAAAAAAATAAAAAGCATGAGTTTGGCAAGTAGAGAAATTGAAACAATACAAAACTGGTAAATGTGGTAGTACACATCTGTAATCCCAGCACTCTGGGAGGCTAAGGAAAAAGGGCTACAAATTTGAGGCCAGCCTGGGCAATTTAATGACTCACTGAGACCCTGTCTCAAAATAAAGCATAGCTAGGAATATAGCTCAGTGAAAAGGGCTTGGGTTCAATCCCCAGTATGAACAAAACAAAAACAAAACAACCCTAATCATGGAAGTGAAAGATTTCTACAACAAAAACCAGAATATGCTGAAAAAAGCCTGGAGAAGATATCACCACTCAGGAGGCTGAAGCAGGAGAACTGCCATGAGTTCAAAGTCAGCCTCAGCTACATAGAATGAGACCCTGTCTTAAAAAAAAAAAAAAAAGAAGTTGCTCCCTAGAGGAATTTTTGAAGTGTTTTTCGAGACAAGGTCTTGTTATGCAGTCCAGGCTGGCCTTGAACTCACTATGTAGCCCAGGTTGACCTCAAACTCATGGCAGCCCTCCTGCCTCAGCCTCTGAAGTGTTGGAATCATAGGTGTATACTACCACGTCCTACCTAAACTGATCTATCTTGGAATGTATTGATTTCTCTGCCATCTCAAATTTATTATTCAGTTACATTTCACTTATTATATTTTTAAAAAAATAATTGTCGGGGCTGGGGATTTAGCTTAGCAGCATAAGCGCCTGCCTTGCAAGTATGTGGTTGTGAGTTCAATCCCTGGTACTGATAAAAACGAAAAAGACAAAAAAAATAATTTTCACTTGGTTCTTTTAAAAATTACTTGCTATACTTTCATTGTTATGCTCTATTTGATGAGTCAATATTATGAGAACTTTCTTTACTTATTGCTGCCTGAGTTCTTTCAACATATTTATAGTAAGGGCTTAAAGTCTATAAGAAATCTCAGTATAGTCTCCCTCAGAAAAATTTTTCATTCCTTGGGCTCTTTTAATACCACCAAACACAGCCCACCTCACTTCCCAGCAGCTTGGCACAGAGTTTTAAAATATAACTGATATTATACAAATCAAAGTTAATTATTACTAGAACTGTAAAGTCCACAAGGAAAGGAAATTCATCTATAGTATCTTATTCATGGACATATGTTCCAGCGTCTAGCATAATGACTGACATATTGTAAACATTCAATAAATATTTATCTAATAACTTCTGAGTTTCAGCAAGCACTTGGGAGGCTTAGGCTGAGGCAGGAGGATCTCCTCTGTTCAAAGGCAGTCTGGGGTACATAGTGAAACTCTGTCTCAAAAAACAAACAAAACAAAATATAATAAGAAGAAGACTAACAACAAAAAAACTCCGAATTCCTTCATGGCCTTAGTGAGTTCCTGAGACCATGAGCATGTGCCAGCTTAGTTGGGCTCTTTAATATCGGCTGTAAAATTTGAACTATGTTCTAGTTTTCTTGTCTCCTATCTCCTCTTGCTCACAAACTAACCATTCTATGCCAAAAAAAGTACCTTCAGAATCAACAGGTAATTTTATTTAAACCCAGGAGAGGGAAATAATATACATTATATTTGAAATATTCCTCAACTCTTACACTAGACACACAAGCACTCTAAATCTGACCTATCTTGAAGCAGTGGTCAAAGATGTTAACGATATCCCTCAGGCTCTTTTTAAGTTTTTAAATCTAAAACCACACGATAACATTTTTGAAGTCAAAGAGAAGTAATTATATGTTTACCATGCTAACTTCTGTACCTTGTATTCTTTTGAGAGACCCAGGACTCATCAAATCCATTACCTTC